ATGTCACGAGCGCGGATAAGCAGGAAAATAGTTTTGATGTTTAAGGTAAGTTGGTATTGTCTTCTGCGTCACCTGAGATTGGCGTTTGTGAAAGAGGCTTTGCAACCTGGTTATGGATTCTTGATCGCTTTCTAGCGTTAGCGCGACCGGTGAGTTGGACGTACAGATCTGTTATCTGCTACAGAAGGTTGTGGGAGCATGCCCACGGAAAGGTGGCATTAGTGTGGCATGTAGCCACTTGATTGATTGAAGAGTTAAATCAAGTACGAAATTGTAGTGATGTCATTGAATTAAGGATTTATGCCTGGAGGGCACACGGTTATTTGGGTTGTGTCTGTGGAGGATTACTCCGGTTATGATGGTTGTTCTTATGTGTTGTGAGAGAAAGGGGAGTATTTATGGACCTTCGGAAGGTTATTAGCCTAGTTCGGTGCGATCAGAATCAGCTTGAAGTCTAAGGATGGATTTAAATGTGAATATGGACTTTATATCAGGCCAGGCATGTTCATTTCAGTAATGCGCTCCTTATGGAGGAGTAGTCAGGATGTTATTTCGTCGTCAGTTATTTCATGTAATGATACATTGCGCCGTGTTAGTTGTGAGACGGCTTGGGAAAATGGCTTATGTGTTGAGATTTCTGCATAGAGATGATGTTATATGAGCAGAATGGCTCTTGAGGTTCAGATCGTATATCGCACCTCAGTTGTGCTTGAGTATGTAGCTTATGGCACTATATGTCCCCTCAGGGATGGTATTATGCACTTAGCGTGCTTGTGACCGATATTCAGTATCTTGTTGTAATGAGCGATTCGGCTCGATGTGTATCTCCTTATGTGAGTTTTATGTATGGATCGGGTTGCACGCCGCAACAGTGTGATGATAATTACAGTCCCTTAGATCCTATTCTACGTGTTTTGTTTCTCTATCTTCTGAGGAAAGTTCGTAGTAGTTGCGTGATTTGAGTAGTCCCTTCAGAGTTCATTTGCCTTATGTATCGCGTTCGAGTTGGTAGCCCATTGGCACGTTGTGGCATCATATGAGACTTTTGACAGTGCCCGGGGTGGCTTATTGCCTGAGCAGTTCGTACTAGGTGAGACGAGATCATTGGACTTAGGATCAGTACAATCTGAATATATGAAGTATAATAAGGAGCAAAGACCATTATTTGGTTCAGAAAGAGGTGATGGTTCTTGACAGGAGTATAGACCCTATGAATCGTTGATTCGGCAGTTGGTTATGAATTTCTACACATCCCTTCCGTCGTGGCGGCATTGCGATAGTTGGAACAGGACATATATATGTCATGGGGTGCATTGTGAGCATCAGATTCGGGAAATATCGACCATTATGATCAGAGAGTGTTATTATGGTCTTGTGAATGATGGGGTGCATGGTGTGAAATCAGCAAGGGTGTGCAGTCATGTTCTGGTACAGCGTGTGGTGATCGATACGGTGTTCATATGTCGAAAGCAGGCCTGGCAGAGAATTACGGATGTTCAAACTGGGCTCCAAGGCTTATTTGGCTAAATGAAAGTGGTTATCTTTAGATTTGATCGAGCTGATGCGCCCAACTGAGTTGTGGTAGCACGGGTAGGTGCACGAGGTATTAAGCAGTGATTCCAGACAACCCCAGCACAGTTCCTAGCACGTTCGAGGACGAACGTATGTTTAAGTGGGAGAGGATGTAATGGCCCGACCAGTCGTTTTAAGCTCTAGCGCACCGTTCAGCAGTTTGAGGCCATGAGCAGCTTCCATTCATGCATTATGACTTGTACGCGTGGTCGGAATTAAATTTCGGGAAGTTCGTAGTTGGCTTGGAGAGGAAATTCTCATTACTTTGATTCCGACAAACTAACTACTTTTTTGCTACAAACATAAATAAAATAATTGAACTTAGTGCTCTACTTGATTTTGCTTGACTTTTGATTCAAAGGAAAAAAGGCGTGGAGCTTAAATAACTCACTCAAAACGCTTTTTAAAAGATTACGTGGTACAATTAGGTCGAATAAACCCTTCTGGAATAAGTATTCAGCTGCTTGTGAACCTTCGGGTTCTGTTTTATTCAATGTTTGTTCAATTACTCTTTTACCTGCAAATGCAATGTAGGCATTGGGTTCGGCAATAATGATATCCCCCAACATACCAAAACTAGCTGTCACTCCACCAGTTGTCGGAGATGTAAGGATTGATACATAAAATAACTTTTTATTTAATTGATAATCATATAAAGCAGACGATATTTTAGCCATTTGCATCAAGCTCAAACTTCCTTCCTGCATGCGCCCCCCCCCCCCCCGAAGCACACACTATAATAAGGGGTAAAATTTGATTGGCAGCGTGTTCAATCAAACGGGTGATTTTCTCTCCGACTACGGATCCCATACTACCCCCCATAAACTGAAAATCCATAACCCCAATTGCTACGGGAATGCCGTTTAGTTGGCCTATGCCTGTTTGAACAGCCTCGGTTAATCCTGTATTTCTTTGATAAGAATCATCGGAAGCTTTAAGTTGAAAGAATTAACTAGGGTTGAATTTTTGGGTAAACAACACCGGAATCGGGATTCGAAGGTTCCAGCAGGTTCGTATAATGATTTCGCACTTGGGCGTATGCCCAGATCGGGTTTTGGGTGACCCTGGAGCGTTTTGGCGCCTATTGTGGAAGTTAGCATTTTGGAAAAAATTTTATAAGTTTGTGTGGGAATGAATTTCAGTGTTATCGATGTCCGTTTGGGATTCCGACTCTGGGAATAGCTCCGTATGGTGATTCTGGAGTTGGGAGCGCGATCGGAAGTGAATTCGGATGTCCGTGGAGCATTTTGGAGCCATTTGGCTAAAGATAGAAAGTTGAAGGTTTTTGAGAAGTTTGACCGGAAGTGGACTTTTTGATATTGGGGTCGGAATCCGATTCCGAAAGTTGGAGTAGGTCCGTAGTGTCGAATATGACCTGTGTGCAAAATTTGAAGTCAATCGGACGTGATTCGATACGTTTTAAACATCGAAAGTAGAAGTTTGAAATTCTAAAGTTCATAAAGCTTGGATTGGAGGTCGATTCTTGGTTTTAGCTTTGTTTGATATGATTTGAGGCCTCGAGCAAGTCCGTAATGTGTTTTAGGATTGGTTGGTATGATTGGTTGGGGGCCCGGGGGCCTCGGGTGGATTCCGGGTGGTTAACGGATCGAAAATAAAATTTTGAGAAGTGCTGAAGCTGCTACTTCTGTCATAACCGCACCTGTGGTTGGTGGACCGCAGGTGCGAGATCGCAGATGCGGTCCTTCCATCGCAGAAGCGGCCCAGGGTAGGCCAGGCCAGGAATCGCAGAATCGGCTCCCAAGCCGCAGAAGCTTTCACCTGTTTAGTGACTTTTAAAAAGGAACTTTCACCTGTTTAGTGACTTTTAAATTTTACTGTTGTTTTAAATAAATCCATGAGTCATCACATTAATAGTATTATTACTGGACCTTTAGTAAGTGTCGAAGTTTCCATCTCGTCTCTACTTCTTCGAGATTAGGCGGGATACTTACTGAGTACACGTTGTTTTTGTGCTCATACTACACTTCTGTGCATTTTTGTTGCACAGGCACATGTACTTCTAGTGGCCTACTGGGCGTAGCAGCATGGATGAAACTGGCACTAGGTGAGCTGCATTACTCGAGGCGGCCCGCAGCTAGTATAGTCCCTTTCAGTATATTGTATTTACTTTCCGTCCATTTGTATTCCGGACGGATGTTGTATTGTATTGTTTCTTAGAAATAGCTCATGCACTTGTGACACCGGGTTCTGGGGATGTCTTTGGGTTTATTCAGAAACTCTAAAAAGTTGTTAGTTAATGTTTCATTATTTATTCAGTGGAATTTGTTATGTATTGTTTAAACGTATAAAAGAAGTGGTTTCGGAAATATTTAAAAAAAGAATTTAATTAAATATTTTGGTTGGCTTGCCTGACAGCTGTGTCCGCCGCCATCACGACCCTTAGTGGATTTTGGGTCGTGACATATTATATAGAAATTACATATATTATACATTTCTCAGCTATTTTTAATTTAAGTGATTGGCTATGCGGCTATTTATGTTAATTCTTTTTTGAAAATTTCATGAATAATTAAATCCTTGTAGTATAAGTAGAAATGACACCAGGTAGCCACTCTAAAGGCTGTTATTTAAGAATTAGCCAGTGCGTCCTGGATTTTAGTTTATTAGTTCAATTTGAGTTGTCCTGAAGTTGAGATTTTTAGTTTAAAATTTCAAGACAAAAATAAGTACTGGCTAATATTAAAATAACATCTCTGAAAATGGCTATCTATGCACTTGCCCCGTTATATGTATAACGAGATCTTGGTGGTAGCTACTAGCTTCGGAATCGGTCTTTTTCTATCATTTCTTTTGCAGCTATGCTCAGCTGATGTGTGCTTTCTTTGAAAGCAAAGAGATGATGAGCGGGCATCAACAGAGGCGGATCCAAGATTTGGAGCCTCTAACAGTATCTCCTTTGGTATTTGATAGTAGGGGTGTCAATGGTTCTGTTCGGCCGGTTATTTTATAAAAATTTTATCACACCAATTTTTCGTTTATTCTATTATGTATAACCAAAATTAGACTTTTAGAAACCGCACCAATCATGTCGGTTTCTCTTCGGTATCGGTACGGTTTGGTTAATTTTCCGTATTTTGTTAAATGTCATTTAAAAGTCACTAGTAGAAGCATAATGCAATAACATACGTACTTTTATAGGACTTAGCAAAACTCTCTAGACATTGTTACTATTTAAAGAGTGATGAATTAAGAAAATATGAAAGATGGCTAGAGTATATATTCATCAACTATTCTACATTAGTGCAAAAGAAACTAAGCAAAGACAAAAAAAAAATAGTGCACGTATGTTTTATTTTAGAAGATGAGACACTAAGCAGATGAAATGAGCTATTTATCCTTTAAAAATTTTATTAATTGCGTTTGAAATTTCAGCAGATGTTACCCAATAGAACTGTTGAGAGAAGGAATAAACATAACATGCGCGGCTAAAATGTCTTGGCCAACAACAGTCTACATTTGAATTTATTGTCAAATCTACGCTTACTCTCAATTTTATACACACACACATCTACTAAAAAAGGAATTAGTCACAGAATTTTTACTAACTCATCACTAAATAGCATGTAGCAAATAAGATATTTTTATAATCCATTGCTAAATAGAATTAGCAAAGGATATTATTGCTATTTAGTAACGAAATTTGTCCGCAGCTAATTCCTATGTTTTCTTTTTTCTTTGTTACTGCATGCAGAGAGAAATTTTTATGAGAATTAAGTTAATCTAAATTTGCTTAATGGGAGAAAATGTGAGAGGTGGAGAAGTGAATGGGCCATTGAGTAATCCCTTGGCTATGTGGTGATAAGCTGCTTCAGTTAAATGAATTCCATCCCAATTTGCAAATTTAGAAGAGTCCAAACATGCCTTAGACCCAATATGACCACATCTTGCTGAATTGTTGAAGTTGTAAGGACCTCCACCTCCACAACATGCTACCAATGTATTGGAAAATCCTGTCATATTTTGAATGCACACAAAATGAGTGCCTAAAACAAAGTTGTCATAAAACCCTTATATATCTGCACCTTTTTTGAGAATCTTATATGTGTATAAACACATGTATACTTAAAAAAAAAAAAAAAAGACAACCCGATGCACATCTCATGTGCACGCTAGGTCTGGAGAAAGGCCGCACCCTAAAGGGTCGTTTGGTTGGAAATATATTATCCCATGATTAATTATTCCGGTATTAGTTATACCACCCTAACATGGACAAAATAATACTACAATCCCGATATTAGTTATATCACGATTTTATCCCAACCAAATTTGGGATAAACTCATATCAAATTTAATCCCAAGATTAATTATCCATTATCCCTCGTACCAAACAAGCCCTAAGAGTGTGATGTAGGCAGTCTATACTAACACAATCGTTAGTGGCTCATTTCGGCTCGAAGTGTCTGTAATGGTATATATGTAGACGCAAAGACATCCACACACATTAAATTTCATCATACTTTTGTAACTTTTATTCTTAGAAAATCTCATATTCCCCTGATTATATGGAAAAGTTAAAATTGACACAGGCTTTAAAAAAAATAAGAGTTTTGAAGCTTGTCGTTTAAATCAAGTTATAGATATTCACATGGATATAGAAACTTTTTATTAGGGCTAAAATAGGAAGTTTAATATAAATTATTTTCAAATTTAAAAAATTGTCTTCATTTTCGAAACGAACTATGATAATTAAATTAATCAACAATAAATTAAACTACTCATAATATAAATTTAGAAAGATGTAATTAAGAAGTTATCAAAAGCATTAATCTAAGTTCATCATAATATAATTAACTTACCATGATGCTTTGGAGCATGAAACAATCTCTTTGCAGCTCCATAATAATCAGCATAGATGATTTTTGCATGAGGATATTCTTCTCTTAATTTCTCAAGGGAGAGTTTTAGCTGAGAATTGTGATATTTAGAGAAGGCATTGTAGGCTTTGAGACATCCATTATTGTCATATGCTGCTTTGTTTGTAGTGCCAAACAAGGTTAAGTACAATGCTGAGCACCCAATTGGCAAATTCCCAGGTACTATCAACTCTACTGCTCCTTCGTCTATCAATACCTAACTAAGAGCAAATTATGAAGGAAAATAGTTAAATAATAAAATAATTGGATGAGTGAAGACTTCAGACAGCCCGGTGCATAAAGTATCATGTATTCACACGGAGTCAGAGAAAAAATCGCACGTTAAGGGTGTAATGTAGCAGGGGCCGGATCCAGTTTTAAGGTTATGGGTTCCCGTGAACCTAGTAGCTTTTGCTCAATTACTGTATTTATATTATAAAATTCATCAAGTATCTATAAATATTTGACTAGGAATATATGAATAATATATAACTCGAAGTCGTAGTAGGAACTCATAAACTTCAAATCCTGAATCTGCCTCTGTGATGTAGACAGCCAGTGGCGAAGCGACATGCATCCGAGGGGTCTCAACCGACACCCCTTCACCGACAATTACACTGTATAAATACGTAAAAAAGACTTTTTTTACGTATATATACTATGTGTTGAACCTCCTTAATTTTGTGTATATTTATTTTTTTACATTTTGATACTCCTTAGTAAAAATCCTAGTTCTGCCAAAGTAGATAGCCTACCCTAATGCAACAATTAGTGATTGTTTCCACCGATCGAACTCGAGTCAAAGACCTCATCATATGTTGAATATTAAGGTTGGATGGCCTAGGCCAATGCACAAAAGTTGAAATGGATGCTTTAGGATATATATATATATATATATATATATATATATATATATATATATATATATATGGAGTGAAAGCTTACACTTGTTGCTTCAATAATAGTTTCAACTACTGCTGGTACGAGAGCTTTAAGTTGTTTAATGCTTCCACCAACAAAGTATGGGTAATTATAGTCATTGCCTCCAATCTCTCCCACTATAAATAGTGATTTTCTAAAGTACACTCTACAATCTGCAGGCCAAAATTAAAAAGAATTAAAAAAAACACAAAGGAAAATTAAGAAAAACTATGAGGAACTAATCTAAATAGCCGTCGATCCAATTACTTAAATTAAAAATAAATTGGTAAATGTATACATATATTTATAATTCATATATGATATGTGCATAACCGTGTATTAATCAATGTATAAGTTATGTATGCTGATTACGAAAAATAAACAATGGTTTCGACCTGCTATATTTGTGTAACAATCCCACAAATTATAGTGTTATTTTTAGCTCAACTCATTTTCATTATGCTAGTTTTACCAACAAAAAAAAGCAGTAATTTATTTTTCAAACTTATAGCAACTGATTTTGAAAGCTTACTAAAAATGGCATATTAAAACAGCCAGTTTTTGCAAAAGGTCAAACAATTTTTTGCAGCAATATTTACAAAAATTCACCAACATTTAAAAATATTAAACAAAATAATGAAAAAAATTAAAAGTTGCCATTTACTATACCTTTTCTTGTGGCACAAATGTTAGACTTCACTTCCTGAAACCATCCCACCTGGTTAGTTAATGAAATATTTGTCCATAAAATTGTTATATTCTTACTATAAAAATACTCAGCGGCCATTGCAGTAGCTCCAGCAATTGCAAAATTCACTCCATTTTCGGCTTTTACGCCATTTTTCAGTGCCAAATAGGGTGGAAGTAATGGCAATCCATACGCCTCCGCTACGTTTAGTTAGAATGAAAATAAAATTTCATTACTTTCAAATTAGTGGCGGAACTAGAAATTTTAATATGAGATTAAAATAGAGTCATTTACACTACACATCAACCCAACAATACCACAACAAAAAGATAACCCTAATCTTTAATTTTTACAAATTTTAGCTAGTATAATCATGGTATAATATGTGTATAATCAGTATGTATACGTTATACAGTTGTTACATGGAATATACACCCGCGACAACAATAGATGGCCAGAGGCGGATACAAGATTTAAACTATATGGATTCAATTTTTAAGGATTTTGCTTTGAGCCGCTTATATTTTAAAGTTATTTTAATGAATTTTTACACATAAATTTATTCTTTGCGCCGAAAATACTGAGTTCAGATTAATCCGGTCCCAGAGGACTGGATCTGATGGGTGAAAATATTTTTACCCGCCAGACTAAAAATGTTAAGATTGCAAGAATGTAAGACCTGAAATTTGCCTATGCTATATATAGTATTTAAGTATTAATGATGACAAAATATTATTGCCTTCAAACATTGGTGGAGCTAAAAGATTTAATAACATTAAAAAGAAATACAAGAATATTTCAGCTGAGATTTAAACTTGCAACCTAAAAGATTATTTGGGATAAATTTACCACTATAATAGGAAAATAGCCTCCTCATGTGAAGGGAGTCAATAACTTAGAAATATACAAAAAAAAATTATTTTTAGTATAATTTTCCGACAAGAAGATAATTAAATTGAATCCCTTTGGACAATGTAGTTACGAACATTTTATAAATAGTAACATAATAAACATAAGAATAAAAATAGAAGAAACATTACCAAAGAAGTCAACAATTAATCGTCCATTTGAGCATCGACCAGTTGCATGTTTAAAGAAAGTTTCTCCATAGGGAAGTTTTCCGATGACCGGAAAAGCTAGGGCACCGGAGAGAAGGAAATTTCCGGTATCAGCGAGTGAATCACCAAAACTAAATATTGCATTATAAGATTGTGGGTCGGGTGAAACTGAGCTCAGAAAGGAACAAAAAATCAAGAAGATGATTTTCATGACGATACACGTAGTTTATCACTAAGCAGTCTAAAATTTCGTCTGCAGAAGGTCTAATTCTGAGCCAAAGCTCTATTTATCGCCCCATTCCCCTTCCTGACTAAAGTCACTAAGGAAGGGTCGGGACGGACTGCAATTCGTCTGAGCATGAATTTCTTTCTAGTTTTGTTAGATATAAGCTTTTAAAAATTAGGGCTACATAAATTAAATTAGGGCTAGTCCTTTTAGTGGTGGTGATAAATAGTATAGTACAAGTAGTTTGGCGGGGAACATGAAATTCATAAATATATAGACTTGAAGTAGGTGAAAGACGATATTATAGATATTAATTAAATGCACAAAGTCAATCAACCGCGTAAGTGCAGGGGCGGATGTAGTCCTATACTAACGGATTCAATTGAACTCATAACTTTCAATGCGGAGTACAAATTTATGTGCAAAAGTTTACTAAAATTGTAACAAATTGTAGATATGAACTCATGACTTTAAAGATATAACAAATTCAATACTAAGAACCTTAAATGTTAAACTCATAGAGTTTACTTCCTGAATTCGCTTCTGCATAAGTGAACTGTCCTAGTTTAACTAACTGGTCCCTAAAGTATAGAATTTAATATAAGTTACTCGAGTTTATATATGAATTGTATTGTATTAAAGTAGTTTTCATAATATCATATACGTTTAAAAGGTTAATTATTGATAATTATTGGTAATAAGTAAAGTTGGTAATCTAAAAAAATTGGAAGATTCTTTTGGATTTTTTCAATATTAATAGGTTGATTGTTTCGCTCATTACTGATATACAACAACAACAACAACAATAGCCCAGTAAAATCTCATCAGTGGGGTCTGGGGAGGGTAGAATGTACGCAGACCTTACCCCTACCCCGGAGGGATGGAGAGGCTGTTTCCGGGAGACCCTCGGCTCAGAGACAATAAATCTGTGACAACAAAACCCGAAAAATAATATCAGCAACGTGAGAGATTGCAAATAAACGGAAAAGCAGTAACACAAATATTATGCAAAAGTGTGAGACACAACATAAATCGCTAGCAGGCTAGACAAAACACTATCATACTCGTCGGAACAAAGAGAGAAACCGGGACAAAGGGGAAAACCACTCGACAACCCCTTAACCTACAACTCTATTGTTCGACCTCCACACCTTCCTATTAAGAGCCATGTCCTCGGAAATCTGGAGCCGCGCCATGTACTGTCTGATCACCTCGGCCCAATACTTCTTAGGCCGCCCTCTACCTCTTCTCGTACCTGCCAAAGCCAACCGCTCACACCTCCTAACCGGGGCATCTAGGCTTCTCCTCTGCACGTTTCCAAACCATCTAAGTCGCGCTTCCCGCATCTTGTCGTCCACCGGAGCCACGCTCACCCTCTTCCTAATATCTTCATTCCTAATCTTATCCAGCCTAGTGTGCCCACACATCCATGGATATAATTTAAATCCTTAAGTTAATCGTTTATGTGGTACTTTCTGACTAAATGAATATACAATACATTGGCATTGCATGGGTTGAAATATTCATAGTCAATACTTGTAATACTAAGATGGCTTTTATTTTATAATATACGTTAAGAGTATAATAAACTTCACGGCAAATTAGAATCGTCTCGTAATAAGTTAGTAAAGTCTTTTACTATGATTCGTATATTCACATGACCTTAAATGCTTTATAATTGTGTAAAGGCAAAATACTTCGAGTCCACTAAAAAATTTCAATTTTTTTCATTTAGACACTTATTTAAGGGCCTGAGCTATTGAACACCTCACATTGCTCAAATCGTGCAGTTTTTCATAACCACACAGTGCTAACATACATTACTTTTTATTTATTTATTTATTTCGTACATACGTACGTCTTGACCCTGAAAAAGTGATGTAGTTTGTCATAAATTATACGTTTACCTTAAATATCCATTAGCGTATATACTCCTTGTGTTGGCCCAAGTGAAGGTTTGTTTTGAAAATTGACAAAGGAAGCTCAAGCATGAACCAGGTCCATCCCTTGTGTGCATAGACACGGGCAGATTCGAGCATGTGGGATGCACGTGAAGGAGATAAGCTTAACTGGTATAATTGATATCTCTCCTGATCGAAAAGGTTGCATAAGCGATAAGGAGAAAGACTCTTTAATCAAAGAGAACTCTATCCAAGATAAGGGAGGAGTACTTAAAAGTTGAGATCAACTAGAACTCTTCCACCAAGGAAGAGTAGCATTAGAACTCTAGTTATTTCTTCATCTACTGACTCTATATGTTGCAGGATGTTCTCATCTTACAGGTGTGCACAATAGCAGAAGTTAAACGTGAATTGAGAGCAAAATAGCAAGGCATTTTACAAGCAGTTCGTGTGTGATTCAAGTGTGCAAACCTGAAGCTACATGAACCAGATAGAAGAACCAGTTCCAAGTGTTTGTCTTTTATTCTAGTTCAATTGTAGTAGGTATTTTCATATTGTACCTTTCATCTTTATCTAGAGGCAATTGTAATAGGTACTTAGAGTATTCAAGTTTGAGTTAACTTGAAGATGTCACAACAGTTAGAGGTTGTTTTCCAAAACGGGATTAGAGTTAATCCTAGGTTTACAAAAGCGTTTTGTAAATGTAGTTTTTGGCTTAGTGATTTAGTGGAGAGTTTGGGAAAATCCTACTGAGAAGTAGGTCGTGATTTTTCATCTTTGAGCCAGGTGTTTTCCACGTAAAATACTTGTGTTCTTTACTTTCCGCATTAAAATTTTAGCAGTAGTAGGTTAAGGAACACTTAGAAGAACCAGGTCCTTCCATAATCAGTTTAGACGAAAAATTGGACACCATACAAATTATCCCCCCCCCCCCCATTGTGTGGTATTGAAGTTAAAACATCAATTGGTATCAGAGCGGGTTATCCTTGAAGAGGCTAACACCTTAGGAGAAGATCAAGATGAGTGCACCACCTGGAAATCGGGAAGGACAATCCACTGCTAGGCCACCACTCTTCAATGGCAAATACTACTCCTGGTGAAAAAATAGAATGAGAGACAACATCATCGGAGAGGACTATGAGCATTGGGACGTTGTTACTGATGGTCCCCTGGCTACCATGAAGAAAAATGCTGAAGGAGTAGATGTGCCAAAAACAAGAGTTGACTGCACTATTGAGGACTTGACGAAATGGGAGAAGAATGCTAAGGCCAAGAAATGCTTGTGTGTGGACTTGGTCAAGACGAGTATAGCTGAATTAAAAACTGTACCACTGCTAAGGAATTTTGGGACACTTTGCAAGTGGCTCATGAAGGAACACCTCAAGTGAAGAGGTCCAGAGGAACACTACTATATTTTCAATATGAGATTTTCACCATGAAGGAAGGAGAAACCATCCAAGAGATGTATACAAGGTTCACCGCACTGACAAATAAATTTAAGTCTCTTGGAAGGATTATTCATGAAGAAGACAGAGTTGAGAAGATTTTGTCAAGGGTTCTGCCAGTCACTTGGGAGAGCAAAATTACTGCCATTCAGGAATCAAAGAACATTGCCACTCTTAAGTTGGATGAGCTAATTGGAAATCTCACTGCTTATGAACTTAGAAGGCAAACCATGAAGATGGATGTACCCAAGAAAGAAAGAAGCCTGGCACTTAGAATCACTGAAGGTTCTGAACTAGAAGGTGATGAAATGGCTATGATCACAAAGGACTTCAAGAAGTACCTAATGGGAGGAAAGGGTCTTTCAAGAAGTGGAAGCTATAGCAAATCAAGGGTTCCTGAAAAGCAAATCAATGAGGGTTGCTACAAGTGTGGGAAGAGATCACCACATCAAAAACTACCCTCAGTGGGAAATTGAATGGAAGAAGGAAAGAGTTGAACGAAGAAACAGGAAGAAGGAACAAGTTCAACCCAAGAAGAACAAAGGATCAATAAAGGCTATGGTTGCTGCTTGGGGATAAAGCTCAGATAAAAGCTCGGATGATGAAGATGGAGATGAACAAGCACTTATGGCCATTGGAGAATCTGATGAGGAATCTAAGGTAAGCGTAATTCATCTCAAAGACAAGATTAAATATTTGTCTAAAGAAAGGCTATCTGAGTTACTTCTAGATTTCATTGATGAATCTAAGGATGTAAACAATGAAAAGGAATAGTTGTATAAGGAATGTGTGATTTTGAAAGCAAAGTTTAAGAACCTGGAACTTAGTGTTAGTGAGACTGTAAGTGAAAATACTGCTTTAAAGAACCAGGTTCATGAATTTGAATCAAATGTCCTAGAACTTAGATCTGAAAACCTAAAACGAAAATTAGGAACAAGTAAGAAGACAGCTGATTGCACACAACTCACTCTAGAAGAAAATGTAGGTAAACTAAAAGATGAGTTGAATAAGAAGGATGAGTAGGTAAGAATTTTGCAGGAGGATCTAGGCAAGGTCAAGCATGAACTAAATAGAACTTGCCAATGGAACGGGTCCTCCGATGCACTTTCACGGCTACGGGAACATCATAGTAGCAATAGAAGAGGACTTGGCTTTGGAAATCTGCCGCCTAAATGGGATCCCAAAAGCAAGTACCTTACACTTCATGAGAACAAGATTTGTACTCACAGTGGTAAAACAGGTCACTATAAAAGTGAATGCAATGCAAAAGAAAAGGCAAGCCAAAAGAACAAAGAATTTATTCAAGGGAAGAATATGCTACCAAGTTGGGCTAAAAAGAATTTGATTCATCCTTTTGCTTATAGAAAGGGACCCAAACTAGTTTGGGTTCCTAAGACTAACCCCCGATTTCCTTTTGCAGGTCCAAGTGAAGGGGAGCAGCCAAATATGGTACATGGATAGTGGCTGCTCAAAGCACATGACAGGAAGCAAGAACCAATTCCTTTCACTTGAGGACCTCAAAGGAGGTAATGTATCCTTTGGAAATGGGAAGAAAGGTGAGCTCATTGGGGTTGGAAAGGTAGATAAGACTGATTCTCACTCTATTGAGAATATCTACTTGATAGATTGCCTAAAATACAGTCTAATCAGTGTATCACAACTGTGTGATAGAGGTAACTTGGTAGCATTCACCTCTACCAAATGTTTTGTGATTAATCTTACCACTGACAAGATTGTTTTGCAGGGAAAAATAGTAAACAATATATATATATATATATATATATATATATATATTTTGTAGATCTGTCAACACTTTCAGGAAATGAACTCACTTGCTT